AAATCGATTTCTCATAATATTTGTCGTAAAAAGTTATAAAACTAGGATGGCCAAAAATTGAATGGTTTACAAGATATTTTATACTTTAATTTGACATAATTTTACATAAACTATAAAATATCTCGTTAAATATTCATTTTTCAATTATCTTACATCAACACTTTTATGCACAAAATAATGAGAGGAATCAATTGGTGTAAAAAAATACATAGTTGACTTTAAGAAAAAAGTATATATATTTAAGAAGAAAGTATATTATATCATATCTGCTAAATATAGCTAAGAAAACACATTGGTTTTAAAAAAGTATACAGTTAAAAAAGTATGCAAACTACATATTTTTTTAAAGCAGCTATGTGTTTTCTTTATACCAATTGATTCGTCTCATTATTTTATGCATAAAAATATTAAGGTAAGATTCCCAAAAATTGAATGTTTTACAAGATATTTTGTATTTTATGTCAAAATACTGTAATTTACAAGCCTCATAACTCGAAAAGTACTTAATGAAAAATAACTTCATTATAGTGTTTTGAAAAGCTCTTGACACCAGCTATTAGATTTTGGAATAAAAAATAGGGGTTTCTATTTAAAAAAATAACTCTGACCTTCAAATAACATTGAAAATTGACTTCAAGGTCAAAGTCACTAGCACAAATAGGCGACCCCCATTGTCCTGAACAACTTTTGTCTGAACCATTTTTCTGTATTTGCTTACTTACGGAGTTATTTGCGTGGATGGATTAAAATGGCCCACCCTGTATAAGCGTTTTAAGCATTTAGGAATTTTCTTAAGCTTGGCTCACAGTTGTGTTTATTTTTTTTTACTATTTACTATTGTGAATAAAACTATTTATTATTGTGAAAGGAATTATTATTGTGATATAAATACGATCTTACTTTACGATATAATTTGGATATGTGCACGATAATTTCTACTCTTTTCACGTCGAATCGCGTACAAATTCATGGCCAGTCTCGTTGCGCATGAATTGGCGTGAGACCGTGTATCTTGTTAAAAGGTAAAAATTGATCATAGAAAGTGGCATTGGAAAGTGGTCTTGGAAAGAATAAACATTTATTTTAAACAAATTAAAAAAAGTGAAAGCAATGGCTTACAGTCCAATATTGCGTTCTGATCTTCAAGATCTCTTGGATAAATACGTGGAAATGCGCGATGTAAGTAAAGAATAAAATCTACTTCTTTGTCTTAATTCTATTATAAGTATAAACTCAAACTGGTGTAATTTTCATAATATAGATGTGTAAAATTAACTTCTGATCAATAATAAAATATAAAAAATGAAATTAAAAAGATCTAAATAAGAAAGTTTTAATACAATTGGACTCTTATTCTTAATTATGAACTTTTCTCTTTGTCTCCATTCTTATTTTATAAGGTTATAGTATACGTATAGTCTCTCTCCCTCTTTCCTATTGTTCGCTCGTTTTCTCACTCTAATGTAGTCATATAATTGAGTAAATTTAAAATAGTGAGGGAAATAGTAGAGAAAGTTCCCATTTTCTCACGCGCTATTCCATTTCTAGCTAGTCAAAAATATTAAACTATTAAGAAAGGAAAGAAACTACAATAGAAGTGGCAAGAGAAACGATACTCTATCTCACTTTATTTTAATTGTTAAATTTCTGTGTATTCTTAAATTAAATTAATTAAATTCCAATTGTATTAATTACATTCCAATTGTATTAATTAAATTCCAATTGTATTATGCTTTTATTCTAGTGCTGTCAATAACATTAACATGTTAATTACCCGGGTAATCGCGTAATACCTGTCTACCCGGGTATCTAGTTTTAAATGACAGCACTATTTTATTCAATGTATAGAAAAATTGAAAGATGTTGCAACATTGTAATGCTCTATTTCACCTCTTAAATCGTTTCGATAAAAAACTAAAGAATATAAGAGTCTTATGCGCGACAGAAAATTTCTGCGCTGCATCTTTTCAGTGCACAGCAGCAGATATCCTTAGAATTCGAGCGCAAACAGTCGGAAAAAATTAAAAACAAATTGCAAAATGTTGTTTGCTATTTGATGGAACACAAGGATCAACATAAAGTATCCTTGAACAATTTGGAAAAAGAGAACAACGAATTGAAATGTACTTTAGCTGATGTGAAGCGCGAACGCGATCGTGCCGAACTTTCCAATAATGTTAAAGGTAAAGAAGCAATGACTTCAACTATTATAACTTAAATTTGTAATAGGAGTGTATGAAAGAATTCAATTGTTGCAAATAATTTTTAATTTAAGATGTTTAGCAAAAATATTTTTAGATTTCGCAAATCTTTATGCATATAAAAATTCTGTAAGAAAGTTAGTTATGTAATATGAATTGAGAAAATGTCCGCTCTTAGTGCAAAAATTAAAAAATAAAATTAAATAAAATGAACTAGTAGAAAATGAAAATAAATTTGGCGCAGTTTCCACATTGCAGAACGAAGTCGATTTTTTACGACTACGAGTGACACAACTCGAAGATAAACATAGAGAGCAGGAGAGACATCACAAAGATGAGATTTCTAAGTACAAACATCTTCTAGAAAACGTAAACACAACATTTCCGGTATTAATTTTTCGTTTTGTGTTGCACATTTATTTATTAAATTCATTGAAATGTTTAACGTAATAATATTTGTTAATATGTGAATTAATAATATAGTTAGATATAATTTATAAAATTGCTTCAAGTTGTATGTTTAAGTTATAACAATTAAATTATATTTGTGCATTAGACTAAGTATTTATTTCGTTTGTTTATTACAAAGGAACAAAATGTTAAAAAAAGAAACAAATCAAAGATAACGGAGAATCATCCTGCCTTCATAAATGAAGAAAGTACGACAAGGAAATGGAGTGTTAAAAAAAAAAGCGTACCTGAAGAGTAAAAAATGTTATTTTATTATTTTGTAATAAATAAAAGTTATATATTATAGTAAAAAATATCGAAATTCAAAGTTTATTTACTTCCAAAATTTAAAAATTTAGTAAAATATACATACAAAAACTAGATGAAAAATATTAATAATATAAAATTATAATTGTTTTAGGTGGTCTAGTGAAATTGTCCATAAAAAGAGAAGATTATTTCAAGAAGATAAAGAAGCTACAATCGACATTATTTAAAGATATTTTTTGTAAAAGAAAAATTATTACACATTTCTTTCATTTTTTACAAGGTTCTGGTGCACTTGAATGGTTCGGATTTTTAGAATAATTTTATTGCAATTTACAGACTTTTTTCCTTGAATTACAGATTTAGAGAAAATTTGTATTGCAATTTATATATTCTATAATTAAATTTCTAATCTAGAAAATTAATAAACTAATTTTCAAAATTGTGTTATATAAATACGTAATAAATAAATTTACAAACTCCAAACTTTTCTCATTTTATCCATCGTCCTTTATGCATAAACAAATATATTAAACTAATATTTTTTTAATTCAAATTATTTAATATTCTTATTTTTTTTTTTTTTTTGTTATATTCTCTTGAATTTTCATATTATTCTCTTGTGCTTATCGCTTTATCTTCTTTAAATATTTTGCTCGTTAAAAATTATTAAATCTTTCAATCATTGAGTATATAATTTCATAGCAGTGCATGCGTTGTTACGACATTCTCGTTCTTGCGGGACATATAACGCTACGGATTTCTACACACAAGACGCGTTATGACGCATTATGACGCATTATGCGGAAGTCGGTACAGCGGCCAATCGGCTTTTCGTTTTTCTGGAACCAACAAGAGGTTATTGACCGTCGTGCCGACTTTACCACGCATAAGGCCGAATTTTCACTGAGCGCGTCACGCGTCGGCGTCATCCGTCGCATCACGAATTAATCAATCAAAACATCCCATTTTATTCGCGCGGCAAATAATGCAATAAAATGGGATGTTTTGATTGGTTATATCGTGACGCGGCGGACAACGCGACGCGTGACGCGTTCAGTGGGAATTCGGCCTAACGCGTTAACGCGTCCTGTGTGCAGGGGCCCTAAATGAGTAAAGAGACAGGTTGCCCCATCTATTGTTTCTAGGTCGCGACGGATGCGATGGATTATGGACAAAAACAGCAGCAAGACAATGGCGGCTATATGTTGGACGGTTAGTGAGTTCATCGTGAAAAATTTAGGAAAAATGTGATCTATACATCGCAATTGGCGAACGTAATTTGAGGTACGTTATGTGAAATCTCGCGGCGACAGCACGCAATTTTCCCGATACGGCAGCATGCTTAAGACACCACGAGAATTGACTCTGACGACCACATGTGCATTTGGTACGACAAAACTGTTCAAGAAAACATGACTCGTCGCAAAGAACTTGAAATACTTTTCGCACTACTTAATGCTCAAGTGTGCACGCTAAATCTAAGCTCTTTCGTTCTCGATTTGGCCGAGTTTACAGTTGCTCGCTTGCATCTTAATTTCTCATACAACAGCCGTATTGACATGACACGAGACATTCTTGTTTGTATTAAAGGAATGTGATACATGTGCTTGTTCACGAGATATAATAGTCATCGCATAAATTTCATGATTTAAACATGATTAAAACATATAATACATATATAATATTGAATACTTACAAGTAAAAATATAAATAGTAAGAATTTGAATATTTAAGAATATTTAAGAAAAAAGAATAAATGTAGTGTTTCTCTTTTTCCTCACTATGTCAAATCTTTAAAGCTACTTTATGTTACTCCATGTAAACTTTCTTCTTTTTGATAGGTGTGGTTTGAAGGCAGAGGGGAGTATTATTGCCTGCAAAGGCAAAGATGGCATATGGTACGTGCAGGCAATGGCTTATAGACAACGGATGGACCTGTCGTCGAATCAATTAGACAATGAATGGTGGTCACTGACAGGTCAAGCAGAAAGATACGACGGCAGGCAGGAAGGAGTAAATGAGCGAGCGCACCTAAGTAATGAGCGAGACTCGGCATTATCCTATTCGCTCGGTCTCGGATTTATACGCAGCCGACGAAATAGAGGTACTTCTGCTAGAAGAGATACGCGATCTGGAACCACCACCTGCCATATATTCTAAACCCGAAGACATTCAAGACTTCGAAATTGGTATATACAATTTTCAATTATTAATGTTTATATGTTACTTGAAAATTTGCATGTGCAATTTTGTTCACAAATCTACCGAGTCGTAAAATGAATGCTAAGTCGATTATTATGCTTTATAGCTGCTTTTTCAAAACATCAAGATTTTTTTTTTGTTCCGATTAACTGTCTATATTTTTTGTTTATGTTTAAAATTTGATTCTATGTAATCTAGATTTGTGAATGTGTACATGGTTTCGATGTTGTATCAATAGCAGGCAGTAGGACAGGGGGGCGAATCAGCTCCCAATCATCGGAGCTGGATTCGCCGGGAGTCCATTCAACAGTCCATTCTTGGGATTCACACGCAAACTATCACGGTCACTATGGCAATAGCGACCACAGACCTGGTTCTTCGTCCAATCCTCTACAGTGGTCTCGTGCAAGCCATGTGGTTATTTATTGCGATATACAGGGGCATCTTAAGACAGCTACAGGTGTCGTTAGACTTTTATTACTTGTAAGTATAAAATCATTTTGTTTACATGGAATGACAATATACAAATTGGAAGTTTTATTATGTTCAAACTAGTAAAATTATTTTACATGTAGATACATTAATGAATGCATTTCGCAGATATCCTCTGCAGCTTGTTTGGCAACTTTATGCAGTTCTGGCACTGCCAAGGTCAGCCTTTTTATGCTGCCTTTAGCAGATCGTTTACGATTCATGATCTTTGTAGCTGTTTTCTGTTTTTTGATCACCGCAGCCCTTCTCTTCCTTGATATTTCGCACGTTATTTACATCCTTCCTTTAAACTGGACTAAGCTGGTAAGTAATATCATCTGTAACACATGTGTGAATCAGAAATAAAATACAAAACGTTTATGCGACTATTTAAATGTATATACCGAGTTAATGCTGTCACATGTAATAGAATCTATTACTTTTTATAGAATGCTATAATGTTCACTGGCATAGGCTTGTCATATGCAGCGAGTAGCGCATTGTTAGCATGTACAGTATGGGAGTATCACAGCGGAGGCTGGGTACCAAAACGCACACGTTCCCAATTGTCTGCTGCAGCAGCAGTAGGACTTTCATGTGCTCTCTTAGCATTTTTACTTTCCTGGATACACTGTCGCAGTGGATCAAGTTGTAAAGGCCAGGATTCTCGTAGTCATACACCAACACAACTTTACAAACCCGTTGATAATTCTTCCTCCTCTGGGGTAAATAATACTCGTTTTAAAGCGCAATCATTAATTATTAGTTACGATGTAGTCATGTAATCTAAAATGCAGGTCACTTTGAAGGAACGTAGTCCTAAGAGACCTGCCTCGTGGAGCGTAAAGAACCAGCAGCAGTCGAAGAAACACAACGCGGACAGTGATACAAACACGAGTAATGGCGGCCATCGCGGTAGCAATCATGAAAAATTCAAACAAGACTCCAACAAAAAGGACCATTGGGCTTCGGCCAAGCAGCACATTATAGACATGCCCATGAATAACGAAGATTCCCAGCGGGAGGATATCGAGATTGAGAGAAGACGGAGGAGGCGAAAAAGAGATGGTGACAGTACTTCGACCGGTGACGGAAATACACCAGGTAACAGTAAAGCCGACACTAGTCGCGCTACCGCGCTACCGGAGGAAACTAAGCCTAGGCGAGTACCGCGAAAATTACCTCTGCAATCTACAGTGGAGCAAGCTCGTTCGTGGTCCGACGTCGAACGTAGGAATAGTGGTACTACGCAAGTTAGGAGTAAAACTAGACAAACACCAGTGAACAATGACGTACAGAATTGTTGTGGTACGAGCGAGGCTATACCGAGCAATCAAGTGACTCGAAACGGTCTCCGAAACTGGGAGGCCGAATGTACGTCTAGCAACAACACGGAGGAGGTTACTGACACAAATGTGGTTGTTTCTAACACCATGTGGTCAGGACAGTGGCGCCCACCACCAGATGATGTTCAACCTTGCTCTAGCAAAACTATCGATCCTTACAGCTTTGCCTGATCGTCTTGTGAAATACAAAGCACACATGTTAGGTAAAAAAGAGAAAAGAAAAAAACGAAAAAAAACGAAAAAAAATAGAATTTGTATAACGGAGCAGTTTCTGTGAATAATTAATCGATGAAATTTTTTTCATAAAGCAAGTACTTGAAGATTTTCTTTTATTAGACCGCAATCGTGTAGTTAAAGTCTTAATTGTAACTGAAAAATCATACTTCTATTTTTTGCTCTCTTTCTCTCTCTCTCTCTCTTTTATTTACATACAAACTTGCTTTCAACACATATTTTGTACTCCATATTGAATAATGCACAGTGACTGAAACAACACAGAGCTGTATCTTAACTTTACATGTTCCATCTGTGTTTTCAACTGTGCATGAACCAGATGTGATCTTAAATGTAAATGTAAGATATGTGTAGATTGTTATACTTCACATATGCAACAAGCGAAAAAGACCGTAGTCCAGATTTATTGTAGGATTTATCAAGTTTATCATCGAATTTTTCAGGACGAAATCATCGTGTCCAAAGGATTTTTAGATCTAAAGTTATTAAGAGATGTAAAGTTATTGCTGCCTTGTATATTTGCTGCCAAGAGGATAGGATTTCTTTAGTTGTCCTGATATTTTGCGTTACACAAAAGCAGACTGCCCAAACTTGATAAGCAAATAATGCCATTTCATTCCAATCATATACCAAATGATAAATCTAAGTAAGTTTTAACGGAATTTTGTAAGTATAAGATCACTACATAGCACATAACACTGATATATGTATATTTGACTAATTATTTCTATTGTATTTTGATGCCAACATATTTTGAACTCCATGCATACTTGAAAAAGCATTTAGTACGTGTGTATATAAATCGCATATTATTTAAGAAGTACCGGAAAGTGTATATATTGAGCCTTGAAAGAATTATACACATACATGCATAGTGAGAAATGCAGCTAGACCGATCTTTCTGTTACGTTCTACACGCAAAAAAATGGCAATTGCAATTTGCAGCTGTAATTTGTCTGTTTATTTCGAAATCTATGTGCAACTTTTTACAAATTCTTAAAACACAACCGTGTGATTAATTTGAACTGAATTAATTAATATCGTTTAAGAAAGTTTCACAAACTGCTTATAAATATTAATTTAGAAATACGTAAAAAACTGTGTTGCCATTATAAACAAAGTAAAAGCGGAAGGTTGGAATCGACCGCTGAAGTTGGAAGATATTTAAAAAGAATATTTTTCATAAACTTAGAAAAATAATCATGATACACGAAATTAAAATAATTTTCTACGTATCTCAATTGACTTTTAATTTGGATTTCATTCTCACATTATACATATATAAATTATATGTATATGTATATGTATATGTATGTGTATATATATATATATATATATATATATATATATATATTATTT